GTTGACTATTTGGAATTTCCTACATAGAAAATTGTGTTGTTTGTAAATAAGGACAGTTTTATTTCTTCCTTTCAACTCTGTATGTCTTTTTTTCTTTTTCTTGCTTTCTTGCTCTGGCTAGAACTTCCAGTACTATGTAAAACAAAAGTGGTTAAACATCCTGGCCAAGCGCAGTGGCTCATGCCTATAATCTCAGCACTTTGGGAGGCCAAGATGGGTGGATTGCCTCAGGTCAGGAGTTTGAGATCAGCCTGGCTAACATGGTGAAACACCCATCTCTACTAAAAATACAAAAGTTAGCCCAGTGTGATGGCTCACGCCTATAGTCCCAGCTTCTTGGGAAGCTGAGGCAGGAGAATCATTTCAACCCGGGAGGCAGAGGTTGCAGTGAGCCGAGATCACGCCACCGCACTCCAGCCTGCACGGCAGAGAAAGACTCCATCTCAAAAACAAAACAAAACAAAAAAAAGTGGACATCCTCACCTCATTTTGAGACCCTGTCTCAAAAAATAAAATAAGCATTCAGTCTTTCACCAGTAGGTATGGCATTTTGCTATATGTTTCTTGGTTTTGTTTGCTTGTTTGTTTTCTGTTTTAGAGACAGGGTCTGCTCTGTCGCTCAGTCAGGAGTGCAGTGCACACTGATCCTGGCTCACTGCAGGGCTCCTGGCCTCAAGGGATCCTCCCATCTCAGCCTCCTGAGTAGCCGGGACTACAGGCACATACCACCACACCCAGCTAATATTAGGTTGGTGCAAAAGTAATTGTGGTTTTTGCCATTACTTTTTTTTTTTGAGACAGAGTCTCACCCTGTCGCCCATGCTGGAGTGCAATGGCACCATCTCGGTTCACTGCAAACTCCACCTCCCAGATTCAAGTGATTCTCCCGCCTCAACCTCCTGAGTAGCTGGAAATACAGGCACACCACCATGCCTGGCTAATTTTTGTTTAGTAGAGATGGGATTTTGCCATGTTGGCCAATCTGGTCTCGGACTCCTGGCCTCAAGTGATCCTCCCAAAGTGCTGGGATGACAGGCATGAACCACCATGCCCAGCCGACACTGACTTTCAAATATGATCATGACTGACAGAAAAAGATGTTGGTTTTTTTTTTTTTTTTTGAGACAGAGTTTTGCTCTTGTTGCCCAGGCTGGAGTGCAATGGCATGGTCTTGGCTCACTGCGACCTCAACCTCTTGGATTTAAGCAATTCTGCTGCCTCAGACTCCCAAGTAATTGGGATTACAGGCTCCCAAACCCAAGCCTGGCTAATTTTTGTATTTTTAGTAGAGACAGGGTTTCACCATGTGGCCAGGCTGGCCTCGAACTCCTGACCTCAGGTGATCCTCCCGCCTCTGGTTTCCAAAGTGCTGGGATTACAGGCATGAGCCACTGCACCCGGTGGCTTTTTTGTTTTGTTTGTTTCTTTTCTGAGACAGGGTCTCACTCTGCTGCCCAGGCTAGAGTGCAGTGGCACCATCATGACTCACTGCAGGCCCAAGCGATCCTCCCACCTCAGCTTTCCGAGCAGCTGGGACTGCAGACAGGTGCCGCTACACCCAGCTAATTTTTTTTATTTTTAGTAGAGAGAGGTCTCACTATATTGCCCAGGCTGGTCTCAAACTCTTGAGCTCAAGTGATCCCACTGCCTCAGCTTCCCAAAGTGCTGGGATTGCAGGTATGAGTCACTGCGCCCAACTGAAAGATGCATTTTTGTATTGTCATCCAGTGTATACACACACACACACAACTGAAGCAAACGTTTAATGAAGTAATACTTATCTTACTACCTGTGATGCATGTGAAAATTTCCCCATCTACTTTGTTACTGTTATTTTTTACTACAGCTTGTAACTACTGACGCCACAACCCACGTGACCTGCTACTGGCCAGCAAGCGAGCCACAAGCCGGCCTAGGCCAGAGGTGACGTAGGTCCATTAGGGAACTCCTGATAGGCAAATGGGAACCAAGAAGGAAAGACCTCCACAGGCTGCCCTGTAGGTTGGTGTTTCAGTGAGTCCACCTGTGAACAAAAACTCCTTTACTCCTCAGGATCACAGTTGTAAAAGTCAGCAAAAACTCAAGGGAATGCCCTTGAAGATTGCGAATGTTTAAGTGCTTCTACGTTTCCCCTGCCTGGACGTAAATAGAAGGAATAGAAGTAACATTCAGGAACTGAAGTTGGCTGGGAGTGGCTGCACCTCAACCCTGCCTGTACCCCAGACCGCAGTGGGGGCAGACGCCAAAGTGCTCTTTGAGATCAGGAAATGATTGAGACCAGGTGGAGCAGAATTAGAAGAATCCTTGAATCAGCCCAGTCCCGGGGTGGGGGGGGGGAGGGGGAAGAGGGGAGTAAGGAGTAGTGATTCAGCCACCACTACTGCTTAAACACAAGAATACCAGCTCCCCTAGTGATATGGGTGGTTTGGTTGTGTCCTCACCCAAATCTCGAATTGTAGTTCCTATAATCCCCTCGTGTTGTGGGAGGGACCCAGTGGGAGGTAATTGAATTGTAGGGGTGGTTGCCCCATGCTGCTGTTCTCCTGATAATGAGTTCTCACGAGATCTGATGGTTTTATAAGGGGCTTTCCCCCCTTTTGCTCTGCACTGGTCCTTGCTGCCGTCATGTAAAGAAGGACGTGATTGCTTCCCCTGCCACCATGATTATAAGTTTCCTGAGGCCTCCCCAGCCATGCAGGACTGTGAGTTAATTAACTCTCTTTCCTTTATAGATTACCCAGTCTCAGGTATGTCTTATTAGCAGAGTGAGAATGAACTCCTACTCCTGCTGACTCCTGTCCCCCTCATCCTTTCTGGATAACACTGAAGACAAGGCCATGCCATCCCCACACCCATCACCCGTGAGAGCCAGTAGATGCAGGGACATTCTCTGGCCAACAGGATTAATCGGGCAAAGAGGGAGTTCTCAGGCTTCTGAATTTGAAAATCTCATGTAATGTCACAAGCAGTTTCTGCCCTCTGGGGTGGAGATGGTGGGGCCTCCAAAAAAGACTGCGCTTTGCTCTGTGAAGTTATCAGACCCAGTGCAAATAGAAAGGCAGGACCCACCCTTTGCCCTTTGGGGAAACCTGAACACAATCTCAGAGGGGGAACTGAAAAGTCCTGTTCCATCAAAGAAAAGGAAGTATCTTTCCAGATAAAAACACTGGTCAGACATGCAACAGTATGAAAAAAAGAGGGGTTGCTGTACCTTTTTTTGTTTGAGACAGAGTCGCTTTATCACTAGGCTGAGTGCAGTGGTGCAATCATGGCTCACTGCCGCCTCAAATTCCTGGGCTCAAGGGATCCTCTCATCTCAGCCTTCGGAGTAGCTGGGACTACAGATGAGTGCCACCATGCCTGGCTAATTTTTTTTTTTAGAGGTGGGGTCTCACTATGTTGCCCAGGCTGGGCTCAAGTGATCCTCCTGCCTCAGCCACCCAGTGTCTCCCAGTCTCCCAGATGTTGGGGCTTTTTGGAGAGAAATGCTACTTTAGTCTGTGTAACATTAGGCCAACTGGTGTCCCCAGAATTATTGTTTGTTCTTTTGGAGTTCTGAGCAGCAGCTTTTAGGCAATGTGAAGCCAGGGCAAAGAAGGGACTGGAAGGCAGGCAGGCAGGCAGGTGGACTATGTGTAGCATCCTGTGGGGAGTGTTGCCGAGGGCAAGGCTGGCCACTGTCTGGAGAGTAGAGTTTCCCGCGGGGGTCTGGTGAGGTGAGCTTTAGGCTGGGGGACAAAAAAACCTCCTCCCTAAGACTTTGGCCTCAGAAACAGAGGGAGGCCTGCGCATTCCCAGTGTGTGCAAGTGGGAAGGGAAGTTAGGCCAGGCCAGCTGCAGGGGCCTCTGAGGGGGTTGGGGGTTGGCAGTTCAGCCAACAGCTCCATTCAGCGTTAGTCAGTGGCCTGCTCACTTCCCTTCCACTGTAACCCACCCTTTGGAAAAGTCTCATTCACTTCCCAGCCTGGTGTTCTCTTCTGGGCTGTGAGGGATGAAGGGGAAGGGCCTAAATCATCTTTCAGCCTGAGGATCAAAGAGGACTAGGGGCCCCTTCCGTGAGGTCAGGTTGAGGATGGCAGAAGGGACAGCCAGCCGAAGACAGCCGTGCCCAGCAGATATTGTCCTCTAGAGGGCAGCATGGTGGTAGCCTAACAAAGGTTGGGTGGGTATGGGGGCTGTTGACCTGAGTTGTGAAACCACCCAGACGAGCCTCTCAGAAAGAGCCAGAGGGCTAAGGGTGAATATTTTCCAAAGATCAACCTTCTGGGGAGTTGAATATTATATGTTGAGTATTTGTATGGAAAACGTTTTTTAAAGGAAAAATACGAGTCTTTTGTCTCTCTTTTTTTCTTTTCTTTTTTTTTTTTTTGAGACGGAGTTTTGCTCTTGTTGCCCAAGCTGCAGTGCAATGGTGCGATCTCAGCTAACCGCAACCTCCACCTCCCAGGTTCAAACAATTCTCCTTTCTCAGCCTCCTATTTTTAGTAGAAACGGGGTTTCACCCTGTTTGCAAGGCTGGTCTCGAACTCCCGACCCCAGGTGATCCACCCACTGTGGCCTCCTAAAGTGCTGGAATTACAGGCACGAGCCATGATGCCTGGCCCCTCTATATTTTCTGTCCCCTTACTTGAAAGAACCAGTACAAAGAGGCCATAGCACTCCTATCGGCTAAAGTAAATACAGCGTTCAGAAGTCCGGCTGGGGGCTAGTGGATTGCTCACCACATTTCCCCTTCAAGTCTCCATTCCTTTTGACAGTTCTGAGAAGTACAGGTTTTTCTTTCTTTGTTTTTTAGAGACAGAGTCTCACTCTGTCACCCAGGCTGGAATGCAGTAGCATGATTGTTAGCAGCAGTGAATCCGATTGGGTCTGCAGCAAACTCGATCCTTGCCTTCTCAGAGGAAAGAATTTGTCCAAGGGTCATAAGGCAGAGTGAGAGACTGAGACCAAGGCAAGTTTTAAAGCAGGAGTGAGAGTTTATTAAAAAGTTTTAGAGCAGGAACAAAAGGAAGTAAAGTAGACTTGGAAGAGGGCCAAGCAGGCAACTTGAGAGATTCAAGGGCATGGTGTGACCTTTGACTTGGGGTTTTCTACGTTGGCATACCTCCAGGGTTGCTTTATTTCTCCCTTGAGTCTTCCCTTGGGCTTAGCTGTCTGCATGCCCAGTGGCCTGCCAGGACTTGGGAGGAGATGCATGCACAGCGCATTTACTAGAGTCATGCACATGCTACTTGACACATTTTTCCCTTACCAATCCAGTGTTCCTAGAGGAAGGTTAAACTCTGCCATTTTGCCATTTTGTGTGCATGTTTGAGTCCACTTGGCCAGCTCCTGAGATCTTATAGCGAGGCTGCTGATCACCAGTTTCAGGTGTTTTCTATCAGCAGCTTGCCGCTCCCTGGCACCAGCTGTGACAAATTATTTGAGAGCCACACCTAACAACTCCCTGCCCATCACCTGATGGTCACCTGCCATTCCTGGTAAGGGGAGGGCCCTCTCCTGCCCTGCTCGTGTCTGACTACCTACTCTTAACATTATCATAGATTGCTGCAGCCTCAAACTCCTGGACTCAAGTGATCCTCCCACCCCAGCCTCCCTAGTAGCTGGGACTATAAGCATGTGTCACCACGCCTAGCTAATTTTTCTATTTTTTGTAGAGACGGGGCCTCACTATGTTGCCTAGGCCTCAAGTGATCCTCCTGCCTCAGCCTCCTGAAGTGCTGGGGTTACAGGCATGAGCCACCACATCCAGCCTGGAGCATTACTAGTGTTCACTGATATTCCCAGTTCCCCTCTCCTGGGTGCACAGGGGAACCATGCTTCCTTGTCTCAGTGAAGTTAAGTCTGGCTATGTGACCTTTTTAGTCAATGTGATGCAAGTAGCAATATGTGTCACATCTGGGTGGAGGCATTTAACAGTGACACATAACTCTCCCAAGCTCTCTCTTCCGTGGCAAACCTTAGAGCCTCATATTTGGATAACAATGTCCTAAGATGGTGTATCCTTTGTCAGCCTGGGTCCCTGAATGGCTACACTGAGCAGAGCCCCACTAATGATCCTACAGTGGACAGGTAGCATGAGCAAGAAATAAATCTCCATAAGCCACTGAGCTTTGGGAGTTATATGTTACCAAGGCATAACATGGCCCATCCTGACTGGTACATATAGTTTTGCTCAACAGAATCTATGGTACCTACATTTACTTAAGATACCAAGTAGCCAGTGATGGGGTGAGAGCCTAAATGAACTCAAAATGGGAACTCTTTGCTCCCTGTTTTCTCAGGAGAGCTCATAACAGCCACAAATTCACCAGGAACTCATTCCAGGCAATTCTGGGTCTGTTTGGCAGTATGTAGCTCCCACGTTCCCAGAATTCTTCTGGGCTGGGTAGCTCTATAAAAACCTGTTTCCCTGGAGGCTATTTTAATGCTGATACTCGTTCAAAAACATTCAGCCAAACAAATGTCCATTAAAAAGCTGGCCATCTAACCACCCAGGCAGAACTGAAGCAGCATTTTGAGGCTGACTCTCACAAACCCGCGACAAATGACAGGAAGTACATTCCTCTCAAGGTAGCACCTCGTTCCTCAGTAACCCAGGCTGCATGTCTGCCGTGGGCTTCCATGGATACCTCAATGCAGGGATCTGGTCTCCAGGATTCTCATGATTCTTACTCAGTTACCATGGCCACAGCACTCGGTTTGAGCAAACAGCATTTCTGCCCTCATCTGATTCTCACTTTTCAAAAGTAAGACATTTGGAGAACAAATTCACTTTGAAACATTACAATCAATCAACAGGTTTCTAGTTTTGAGTATTGTGACCAAAGGAAGCCATAACCTAGAAATCTCATTGTTCACCCATGGGAAAAAGAATGACTGCTTAATAATTTTGATAACTGTTAAAATTTCAATATAGAGTGAATCTTTTTTTTCTAAGAGAAGAGGTCTTGTTCTGTGGCCCAGGCTGGAGTGCTGTGGCGCAATCATAGCTCACTGTACCTCAAATTCCTGGGCTCAAAGGGTCATGACGTTTGCAACTTACTCAAACTGTTAGTAAGAAATAATAATAAAATGGAAAGAGAGAGAGAAAGCAAATATGGTAAAATGTCAACAATTGGGAAACCTAGGTGAATGGCCAACGCGTTCATTCTTGCAACTTTTCTGTAGGTTTGAAATTTTTCAAAATAAATATCACACGCTTCAGATCAGTGGCTTTCAAATTTTGACTATAACCCACAATAAAATATAAACTGGGTTTGTAACCCCATATACACACACATACATGTATAATTTGAACGAATGCACATATATTAAAAAGTTTCACAAAACAATACTTAGTCTTACAATATTACATGATGCTCTGCGACTTTTTTTTTTTAATGCTGTTTAAAAAATTTTTTCTTTTCTTTTTTTTTTTCCCAGACAGGGCCTTGCTCTGTCACCCAGGCTGGAGTGCAGTGGTGTGAACACAGCGCACTGCAGCCTCAACTTCCTGGGCTCAAGACATCTTCCCACCTCAGTCTCCTGCATAGCTGGGACTATTGGTACTCAACACCTTGCCCCACTAATTTTTTGTTTTTGTTTTTGTTTTTTTGTAGAGATGGGGTCTCACCATGTTGCCCACACTGGTCTTGAACTCCTGGGTTTAAGCGATCCTCCTGCCTCAGCTTCCCAAAGCACTGGGATCACAGGCATGAGTCACTGTGCCCGGTTTGGTTTTTTAAAACTTTAAAACCCATTGAGTTGATGACCATTAGTGGTTGAAACATTTGAATACACCTGTCCTCAGCAGTATTTCGTGCAACATTTCCAATACTTAGTATTAAACAGAGACACAGGAGTGTCACCATGAAGAAGTGACAGCTTGGCCAGGCGCAGTAGCTCACGCCTGTAATCCCAGCACTTTGGGAGGTCAAGGCGGGCAGATCACCTGAGGTTGGGAGTTCAAGACCAGCCTGACCAACATGGAGAAACCCCGTCTCTACTAAAAATACAAACTTAGCCGGGTATGGTGGTGCATGCCTGTAATCCCAGCTACTCGGGAGGCTGAGGCAGGAGAATCTCTTGAACCTGAAGGCAGAGGTTGCAGTGAGCCGAGATCAAGCCACTGCACTCCACCCTGGGCAACAAGAGTGAAACTAAAAAAAAAAAAAAAAGAAGAAGAAGTGACAGCTTGGCGCACCCTGAATTCATGTGGTTTTTTTTCTTTTTTTCTTTCTGAGATGGAGTCTTACTCTGTTGCCCAGGCTGGAGTGCAGTAGTGTGATCTCGGCTCACCACAACCTCTGCCTCCTGGGTTCAAGTGATTCTCCTGTCTTAGCCTCCCGAGTAGATGGGACTACAGGCGTGCACCACCATGCCTGGCAAATTTTTGTATTTTTAGTAGAGACCGAGTTTCAGTTGGCCGGGCCAGTCTCGAACTCCTGACCTCATGATCCACCCACCGCCACCTCTCAAAGTGCTAGGATTAACAGGGGTGAGCCACTGTGCCAGCCTTCGTGTCGGTTTTCAAAACCCATCTCTTCAAATAGAGTGGACATTAAAAAGATTACAATTTCCAGAATGTTGACAAATGCAGTCATAGCACTCGTGTGTAGAGAACAGCTTGGGTTCTTGGGTTAGTGGTGAGCAGCATATGCACTTTTCTTGACTTGACTGCCTCATAGTCCGGCAGGAATCCGTGCCTGTTGTGACCAGCTCAGAACGGTTCTGCTGCAAACCACAGAGATGGGCACGGCAGGCCAGCAGAACCTGCATTTGCAATTCAGCCTGCAAAGCCTTTTTCTTGGAGTCTATGCTAAAGGAGCTGCTGATCCTGAGGCGGACAAAACAGTCAAATGCCATTTGTTCCCACCGCAACCCTGAAAAAAGCTGGGTTTGGTAGGGCCCCTAGGTGGGATTTGGTAGCCCCGCCCTGAGGCACAGCACACCCAGAGGCCACGCATGCTCGCTGCAGGCCTGGCTGGCCTTTGCCCTTGCAGTCGGGGAATACAGTTGGCCAACCCCCAACCTGAGAAAGCTCTAAATCCCCTTTCCCAGCTACTGGCTGCCTCCTTCCCTCTTGGCCATTAGTCAGCCCTGAAGTGTGCAGCCCATAATGATTTCCACACCTAATGGAATCATCCAAGCTGGAGCCTCCCTGCCCCGCTCCCTGTGTCTTCCGGACATTCTTCCCACAAAACCCTAAGAAAAAAGGATTGTGTGGCCTCCAGGGAGATTCACAATACATGTTAGCATATGAAAGACTCTGAAAAGTCCAGCACTAGAGAAACCGGTTTAACCTTTTTTTTTTTTTTAATCCTCGGATTTTACAAATGTATTTGTCCACAAACACCCCCTGCTGCCCCTTTTCCCCTACCCTTCCCCTAAAGTTCCTTTGTGGCTGGGGCCACCCCTGGGAATAACTGTGGAGTAAATGAATTGGATCTTTGTTTTAAACACCTCCTCGTACATCTCAGACCCCAGGAACCACCGCCGCCCCTTGTCTTAAGTCTCCCTCCCATCTCCCTTCTCTCATGTCCTGCCCACCTTCCTGAATCCTAGTGTCCCCAGGCCCCTGGGGAGGAGGAGGAGGATTGTGGTCGAAAACAAAGGACTTGAGTATAAAGAGTTACCCCGCCAGGAGAATTGGCCCAGCTCTTAACTACTTAGCAAATGGATGTCTCTCTAATTCAGGCCTTGCAGGCACTGTTCCCTGGAAGATGGGGGAAGGGAAGGGGAGAGGGTATGAAGCCCTAGAAGCTTCGGATTCCTAGTCTTCTCACTTGAAGTCCCATGTTCATTCTTGCTTCTCTTTTCCAGTGGATGCCCATGTGACAAGAGCAGAAATCCATACCATCCTCCCCTCTCGAGTGGCACGTCCCTGTGTTCTCCCTGGGGCCATCTCTGGAGGCAATCTGCTCCTACCATCCTCCACTGGGATTTTCATCTCTGCCCCCCATCCCTCTCCCTTACCACAAACACCCTCAAGCCTAGTTAAGCAAACTTTCCCCCTCTGGCCAGGTCAGTCCGTCTGTAGGCAAAACACTACGTGCTGGACCACGCTGTGTGCTGGACCACGCTGAGCAGGAGACAAGAAGCGAGGAGAAACCCGGGCTGCCTGCCCACTCCTCCCACCCCACCGAAGGAGAGGCTGTCGGACAGGGAGGCGTTGGCCAGCCCCCCAGTGGTGTTGGCCATCTCTTCCACCGGGACCCTAGGGGCCAGCAGCTTGGAGAGGAGGCTGCTGAACCTGCTCACGGTGGTGGCCGCTGGTTCTGGGGACGGACCTGGACTGGACGTGGTGAGGTTCAGCTCCTTGGGGTCCACACAGACGCCATCGGAGGAGCGCCCGAAGGCCACCTGGCTGAGGTCCAGACCTGCCACGGAGCCCGGGGAGGTGCATGGCACGTCAGTGACACGCCCGGAGCCCTCCATCCAGTCCCGCAGCCACTCCAGGCGGCAGTCGCAGCACCACGGGTTACGGAAGAGGAAGAGGCGGCCCAAGAAGAAGCCAGGCTGGAAAGCGGCCCAGGCGAGCACGGTGAGGCGGTTGCCGTTGAGGTGCAGGGCAAGGAGGCCTGAGAGGTTCTGGAAGGCGCCCTCCTCCACGAAGGCGATGCTGTTGCGATCTAGGTAGAGCAGCTCAAGCTCCACCAGGTCAGCGAACCAGGCGCGCGCCACGTGGTCCAGCGCGTTGCCACCCAGGTTGAGCGTGTGCAGGCGCCGCAGGCCGCCGAAGGCATCAGCCGGGAGTTCAGCCAGCAAATTGTCATTGAGCAGCAGGTGCTCCAGGACGCTGCAGTCCCTGAAGGCGCCGGCGTGCACGACGCGGACGCGGTTGGCCTGCAGGCTGAGCGAGCGCAGGCGACGCAGGCCCTGCAGCGAGCTGGAGGCGACCGCCTCGATGCGGCCGCGTTCCAGGTGCGCGTGCGTCAGGTTGGTCAGGCCGCGCAGCGCGCCTGGCACGCGGCGGAACAAGTTGTCAAAGGCCGAGAGCTCGCGCAGGGCCGGCAGCTCGGCCAGGAGGCGCTCGGGCACGCTGAAGAGGCGGCAGGCGGCCAAGTCCAGGCGGCGCAGGCGGCTGAGCGCCACGAAGGTGCGCGCGTGCAGGTAGCGCAGATCTCCGTTGTGCGCCAGGCGCAGCTCGGCCAGACGTGGCAGACCCTTGAAGGCGCCGGGCGTGATGAAGGACAGGTTGTTGTGGCGCAGCGACAGGCGGCGCAGGGACGGCAGTGTGCCAAAGGCCCGCTCGCCCAGGAAGCGCAGGCCGTTCCGGTCCAGGTCAATGGAGACCGCTTCGCACGGGAACTCGGCCGGCACCCGCAGGAGGCCGGCGCGGTCGCAACGCACGGAGCAGCCGCGCTCCATGGTGCTGCAGGCGCAGGCGGACGGGCAGGCGCGCGCGCAGGCCCCCATGGCCTGGGCGCTGGGCAGGCCAAGGACCACCGCTACGGGGACGGGGTGGCGTGGGGATGGGGGGCGGGGTAGGTGTTGAGAAGGAGGAAAAAAGAGAAAAAAGGAAAAACAGTCAGCCAAAGGTCACCCCAGGAAAAATCTTGCCTGCCTGGGCAGCAGGATGCAGGCCCTCCACCGAGTTATCCTGTGTCCTGCACATGGCCTCTTCCCACTTCCGTGGCCTCACACGGGTTTATTCACCTAAGACACCCGCTTCTTTGCTTTCCAGTTACCTTAATCAGCAAAACTCAGCTGCAATCCCTGCAGCTGACCCCATTCTAAACTCCCTCCTGCCTGTACCCCCGACTTGTGTGCTTCTAGTGTGGCAGGCCAGCTGTCACTCACGCAGGCCTCCATAACAACTGTTTCAGCAATGACTAAATAGTTAAATATTAAAAGCTGGCGGGGTCCCAGTGGCTGACGCCTGTAATCCCAGCACTTTGGGAGGCTGAGGCGGGCGGATCACCTGAGCTCAGGAGTTCACACTAGCCTGGGTAACATGGTGAAACCCTGTCTCTGCTAAAAATACAAAAATTAGCCAGGTGTGGTGGTGGACACCGGTAATCCCAGCTACTCGGGAGGCTGAGGCATGAGAATCACTTGAACCCGGGAGGCGGAGCTTGCAGTGAGCTGAGATCACACCACTGCACTCCAGTCTGGGCGACAGAGCAATACTCAATCTAAAAAATAAATAAATATTAAAAGGCAAAAGAGCCAGTGCCCTTATACAAAGGCTGGAAGGTAACAAAAGCCCAACAGGAGTTTTGCCCAGGCCTTTCCTTGGCCTTATAGCATGACAAGATAATGAAGCAATTCTTAACAGGACCCATTTAGGATTAAACAAGTTTTACTGGGGATCTAAACTCCCCAGACCTCCACAAACAAGTTGATTGGGGGTCTGAAGAAACTCCCCAAACCTCCATGATTTAGCAGGAGACAAGGTATGGGTAATCACCCTGGCACCTGGGCCCATCTAGATTAAGTCAATTTATTGAGGCTCCAGAGGAAGGTCTTCAAAACTCAGATTTTAGTTATAGATTAGAAGAAGTTATTCACTTATGTCTTTAGATGAATGCACACTTACATGTAGACATATAGCATAGAAAGTATATAAATTCTGGGCCAGGCACAGTGACTCACGACTGTAATCCCAGCACTTTGAGAGGCCGAGGTGAGCATTTCACCTGAGATCAGGAGTTCAAGACCAGCCTGGCCAACATGCCAAAACCTCGTCTCTATTAAAAAAACAAAAATTAGCCAGGCGTGGTGGTGGGTAATCCCAGCTACTCAGGAGGCTGAGGCAGGAGAATTGCTTGAACTCGGGAGGCAGAGGTTGCAGTGGGCTGGGATAATGCCATTGCACTCCAGCCTGGGGAACAAAAAAAATTATAAGCTCTGGAAAACTTTGTAATTTTGAGTTAGCCTGTAGATAATTTCCAGGCCTCCCTGTAACCAGTTACAGAAATAATAACTCCCTCTTTTCCTAGTTCATCTGCATCTCGTTATTGGGCCATGAGAAATAGCAGCCCTGCCCTCAGTTTGGTCCGGGAACACTAGAATGCAGACTTAAGGGTTTGTTGTCTGCAGGCTTAGGGGGATCTCCGAGGGCATCACTGTAGCCTACTCTCTAGACCTGTGCTGCCAAATACAGTAGCCAGTAGCCCCATGGGCTACTAAGCATTTGAAATGTGGCCAACCCAAATTGAAATGTGCTAAGACACACCAGATCTCAAACACTTAATACAAAAAAAGAGTAAAATACTGCATCAATGATTTTTTTTTTTCGAGACAGAGTCTCCCTATGTTGCCCAGGCTGGAGTGCAGTGGTGTGATCTTGGCTTACTGCAACCTCTGCCTCCTGGATTCAAGCGATTCTTCTGCCTCAGCCTCCCGAAGAGCTGGGATTACAGGCATGTGCCACCATGCCTGGCTAATTTTTGTATTTTTAGTAGAGACAGGGTTTCACCATGTTGGCCAGGCTGATCTCGAACTCCTGACCTCAGGTGGTCCACCTGCCTCAGCCTCCCAAATTGCTGGGATTACAGGCATGAGCCACCATGCCCAACTGCATCAATGATTTTTATACTGATTACATGTTACAATGGTATTTTAGATTTATTGGGTTAAATAAAATATTAAAATAATGTTAACTTTTTATTTTTACCTTTTCTAATGTGACTACTCAGAATTTTTAAACATGTGGCTTGTGTTACATTTCTGTTGCTGCTACTGTAGTCCCTCTCACCAGAAGAATAATTCCTGAGCACCCCCACTGAGTAAATTATGCCTCAAGGAGAAGGGATAATTAGGGAGCCAGAGATTGGAATGAAAGAAAAGCCTATCAGTCAATTTCTGTTTTTAACAGTCACTAAAATTTAGCCAAAAGGATGGCATACTAAATAAAATCAATGACCTTCTTTCTCATACATCTCAAAAGAATTAATTATAGACATTCTACAGTTAAGTTCCATTCACCAGCCCTTGCCTGCTAGAAACTTTTTAAAATCATCACAGAAGAGTAAGTTGCTTATATTACTTTCATTCTGAGCATTTGAATGGAAGACCAGATAGAGACTTCAAAAGCCCACTAGTAGGCTTGCCACCTCCAGCAAAGTAGAATGTCATGAGGCTGGGCAGGGTGGCTCACACCTGTAATCCCAGCACTTTGGGTAGCCGTAGCAGGTGGATCACCTGAGGTTAGGTGTTCGAGACCAGCCTGGCCAACATGGTGAAACGCTGTGTCTATTAAAAGTACAAAAATTAGCTGGGCGTGGTGGTGCACACCTGTAATCCTAGCTACTCAGGAGGCTGAGGCCAGAGAATTGCTTGAACCTGAGCGGTAGAGGTTGCAGTGAGCTGAGATCATACCACTACACTCTAGCCTGGGTGACAGAGTGAGACTCCATCTCAAAAAAAAAAGTACAATGTCGTGGTCTGTACCCTGTGGAAGCCAGAGGCCCCAAGCCCAATCTTGAGGACCAGTGGAAAAGGCAGCATGGTAGATGCACAATGTTTATTTCATGGCCAGGGGCAGCTCTATCTGAAATTCCTGCAGGGAAACAAATGGTACCCAGATGTAAATATGCCCACTAATTCCTAATTTCTACCCCTCCTCATCAGTACTCCTGAATTCCTAGCAAACACCCCTGGCCTGCCGTTCACTTCCTCCCATTCTGTACACATTACCTGGCCTTGCCTATCCAAGTTCTTGCAGAAACCTGAAGGCCCCAAAAGGGATGTGTATAATATGCTTGGTGCCGCCTCTGTCGCTCTGCTTGGGTTCCAGTGTCTTTTCACGTCATCTGTTATGGACACTCCATGTTTTCTAAGCAGCTGAGAAGTGGATTCAGCCCTCTCAGATGAAGCTGAAGAGCACTCAGGTCTTCGAGCAGCCCCTCAGTTTGATGTTGAGGATGCTTGACTTAGCTTTTCCATCTCCCTGAAAACTGTGAGATAGACACCAGCTTCCAGCCAGGTTCTTGGGCTCTATGCTGAGCCTGGCTGCAAAGAGTGCTGCTGCTGGGCTGTTAGGGAGACAGGGCCAAGAATATAACCCCAACTCCAGGCCTCAGCTGGAAAGAGGCGGAACCTTTTTCTATCAACCCTTCCAACTAGGTCAAGTAGAAGGCATCAGGTTTCCTTACAAATAGTCCTTCATTCTACTCTCTTCTCCTTTCTAATTAAGAAAAGTACACTCTCAATCATTTGGCTCATGTTTATACCCCGCAATAGCCAGCATTGTTCCAGGCACACTGAATGACTCAATAAATGTTTGTAGAATTAAATGATGCCTTCCTCTGTAAGGATTCCTCCATTTATTTTAAAAACTGTTTGTTGGCCAGGCATGGTGGCTCATGCCTGCAATCCCAGCACTTTGGGAGGCTGAGGTGGGCAGATCACTAGAGGTCAGAGGTTCAAGACTAGCCTGGCCAACATGGTAAAACCCCATCTCTACTAAAAATACAAAAATTAGCCACATGTGGTGGTGCATGCCTGTAATCACAGCTACTTGGGAGGCTGAGGCATGAGAATCGCTTGAACCCAGGAGGTGGAGGTTGCAGTGAGCTGAGATCACACCACTGCACTCCAGCCTGGGCCACAGAGCTAGACTCTGTCTCAAATATATATATATATATTAGTCAAGGAACTCCTAGGATTACAACAGGATACAACCAATTTGTATAATGCAAGAGATCAGAAACGTAGCTGCATACGTTCAAAAAACATATACGAGAAGAATGAAAGTGAAGCTTTTCAACGTACATCCCTTTTAGCCTTTTAAACTTTGAACCATGTGGATATAGTACCTATTTCAAAAAATAGATCAGAGTTTAAACCTTAATTAAACACTCAAGAAACTGTCACTATTAGAGACCTATTTTTAGCCTCTGAAACTTTGATAGCCATTAAGAGCAATAACTAATTGACTGGATTATTTAGTGACATTTAAATTAAGCCAAGGCCAGGTGCAGTGGCTCATACCTATAATCCCAGCACTTTGTGAGGCTGAGGCAGAAGGATCGCTTGAGCCCAGGAGTTCCAGACCAGCCTGGGCAATATAGTGAGACCTCCATCTCTACAAAAAATAGAAAAATTAGCCATGCACAGTGGTGTGCACCTGTAGCCCCGCTGCTCAGGAGGCTGAGGCAGGAGGATTACTGAGCCCAGGAGTTCGAGATTACAGTGAGCTATGATTGGACCACGGAACATCAGCCTGGGCAACAGAGCAAGAGCTTGTCTCCCTCTAAAATAATAAATTAAGTCAAGTAAATTCTCAGAACTGACAGCAAAACTATATTGGCTTATCTGGTATGAACACTAAGTAATGTTTAGTGGGCCAGAAAAGCAAGGTACCAAAAAAAATTATTTTAAGAATAATATATGTGGATGAGTTCTACTGTGATCATGGCAGAGTCGCTGCTAGCTATGGTAGACTCTGGACAAATTTTTTTTAAATTGTTTTAGCCAGGCATGGTGGCTCATGCTTGTAATC